TCTTTAAGACCCTGCTCTGTCCTTTTCAGTGTATTACCAGAAGTAAAACTGGTGGATCATATAGTAGTTTTATGTTAATTTTTTCAGAACCTCCGTATCGTGTTGCATAGCAACTGTACCATTTTACATTCCCACCAACAATGCACAAGAGTTCCAATTTCTATACATCCTCCCAACTCTTGTTTTCTGTTTTTGTTTTGTTTTTGCTTAGTTCACCTTTCTATTTATATTATACATTTATGCTCCGAATATAAAATTTAGGCTGTAAGATAAAATTTCAAGGACCAAGAAGACTTGTTGAGACATTTTCCCCCAGTTTTTAGAAAATAATGCTTTTCAGGGAAAAAATAATCTTCACATTCATATTTCTAATTATAAGAGCGCTATTTAAGACACATTGCTTGTTTTATCCATTTGACTGTGGAGTGTAAGTTACTCCTGAGAGCCAGATAAAAAGTGTCACTCCCCAGTAAGGATCTGCCAGGACATTGGCAGTATATTCTTTCAATATTTCCTGGGAGAGAGAACGTGCTCTTTAGAATGCATAGAATCAACATTGTCACAGACAGACTTTATATCCAAGAAAAAGCTCTGAAATATGGATGGTATTGAGGCATGTCCAGGAAAGATGTCACATGGATCTTCTCCGATCTTCTCCCAAATCTCTGAGTCTATATGGCCTTCTCTTTTCACACATTGTGTGTGTGTGTGTGTGTGTGTGTATGTGTAGAAAACATAGGACTCAGTCTATTTTGCTAGACTGTAGCTACAGAAATATGAAATATAATCTGATATAAGAAAAATATGGGATAAGAGGGGGGACTCTGTAGGGAGTGCTATTTCAATTCTTCAGTGGGGTTTTCAAATAGCCCCTAACCAGAATGTAGCTGCCATTCAGTAATATTAAGCTACTTTACTTTATACTTTCTGGCAATTAGGAGACCCTTGAGTTCAGTATACAATAATCATAATAAAAATAAAAATTTTGAACACTTATTTGTGCTAGGTAGACACTGTTCTATGTGTATTATTTATTTAATCTTCACAATAAACGTATGAAAGAGACATTATTATTCCCATTTTCAAATGAGGGAAACTGAGATAAAGAGGTTGAAAAATATATCTAAATATATGTGAGCCACCTTTGCTGGGAATAATGAGAAAAATAAGAAACTGTGTGCCAAGACTACAGAAAGTGATAAAGTATGACAGAACTTGAGTAGAGTTTTTGCCTTGGGATAAGTAAAACTTGAATTTAGAAGAGTATTCATGTGCATTTATAAAAGGTGTTGCAGTATGCACGTAGGGGCTACATCTCTGGGACCACCAGGAGATAACGATGAGTTATAGAATCAGAGTGGTAAAAGAGAAAAACAAATTTTATTAATTAAAATCTATGTAGCTGATAACAAAGGAGACTTGAATAGAACAGCAGCCATTTCCTGCTGGGCTAAAAGATTTGTGTAGGAAAATTTGGGAGTAGGAGTTAAGGGAAAGCTGAATTACTATCCATAAAAGTGAGGAGAAAAACTATTTTGGTTTCCAAGGCAATATGGGTGGGAGGAAGTGAGGAACAGAAGAAAGAGAAAAGTCAGTGTGATAATGGAAATGATATAGGCTGGAAAACTGTTACTAAATCTTCCTACCATCTCAATAATAGCCTGAAATACATCGAAACAGTCCACCGGATCATCCCCAGCACAGAGGGCGGGGGAGATGTGCGATGGGGTAATGGTGATATCTGCTCTATCAAGGACGTTTACTGTGGATTTAGCAAATTTTTCACAGATTATTCACATTTCCCTATCCTACAACTTTCCCAGATCTGCCAGTTTTGATTCTTCTGTCTTTAGTAATTTTAATTTCTCTAATTTGAACTCTTGGTTCCTTGTTCCACATAAGGATCTAGATACTTGCAGTTTTATTGCTTTCTGCCTCTCCTCCAGCTTCTGTAATCAGGACTGGAGTCTTTGGGGTCATGCTGTCTCAGGGAGGACTCGCAGCCCTGGTTCCTGCTGCCTCAGAATGTCTTGTCAATTTTCCTCTTGGAGTTATGAGACCCGGACAGGCAGCAAGTAATAAGATGCTTACCAATGGAAAGTTTAAGAACAAAATTGTTGAATTAAGGCAATCTCAGACAAGATGAACTAAGAAGTATTAACTTTTGCAACAGTGACAAGCAACCCCAAGACATCTGAGTGACTTAAAACAACAACAAAAGTATGTTTTTGCTTAAGTTACATGAGTGCTATAGATCTGTTCCAGTTCTGCTGGCATTGATGCACTCTTCCAGGCTTTGTTCTGTTCTGGCACCCAAGTTGAAGAAGTTTCTATATAAAACATGCTATTCTCATGGCAGAGAGCATGAATGCAAGAGGGCCAGGACCAACCCATGTAGTGTAAAGTTTCTGGTTAAATAAAGCTATTGTCATGCATATTTGCAATCCATTGGCCAAATCACATCTGGGCCAAGTCTAGATCACATATCCTCCTTTCCTCAGATGTAGGACAGATATCTCTTAGCACAAGGTAATGATACATAATCCTATTTCAGGGGAAAAGCAAATACTTAGAAATAATACCATAGGGAATATAGGTTAGGGGAGGGGGTTGGAAGAAAGGGTCCCAGTTACCAGAATAAAGTATAAAACAAGACTTTGCCCACAAGGAATGGGCAATAACTCAATTACTAAATGAGAAAGGGGTCTAATGAATTCACATAACTAAAAGTCCAGATAGAGTTGAGCAATGCTAACTTTATGCTCACAAATAATGTTGCAGGAATCACTTTTTTCACTGTTTCATGCAGCCTCTTCTATACAGTTTCAAAATGGCTCTAGAAACTCCAGATTTGCAGTTTACCAACTTAACAACCTCAAAGGAAAGAAAAATGCTCATGTACCAATAGTTCTAGAACAATCCTGAGGTTAATACTCATTGGTTCGGATTGACTGTCTTGTTTCACATGCCAAAAACTAGTTCATATGTCAAGAGGTATGGGATAGTTACCTAGGCTTGGCTCACACACTCACACCTAAAAATGAAAGCAAAATTAGCCACACTTGAAAACACTCGGGCAAAGCTTGTGGAGAAGTCCTCCCAAGGGAATTTGAGGGGCTCTTACTGGAATTCTGAAGGTCCCACCAGGCCACTAGGAAGAACTATTGGTTAACTTAAATTTATTCTTGCTAGGCATAGGAAATACAGTCTCACCAACAAAGATTTTTATAGGGCTAGAACTAAGGAATTCAAATAGAGCTCTGGTAATGTGTGTGTAATTTTGGAAGTGGGGAATGAGTAGGGTAGGTGAAATGTGCTTTCCATAAGTTGTAAGACATGAAGTGGGTATTTTCCAGTAAATTGTTTAATGGAATATTTCAGTCCTTCTCTGAGACTGATTTTCCCAGAGCAGTTGTAACCACTAGCTTGGCTCTTGATTTCAGGTTGAAGTCTGGGTAAATACCCATTTCTTAGTGGGAGATAAATGTTTGGCTGGTAAAAAGAGCAGATGTCTACTACATGGGTAATAGGGCTAGCGTAAGGCCAGCTATTAGGCTGACTTAACGTGGAGTCAATTAGATCACTAATCCAAGGCCCCATATAGCCCTCTTACCTGATAACAGGTTTAGTTTAGGTCAAGAGCTAAGTAAGTGTCAAGAATTTTGAGAAGCAGTTATTGACCCTTCAATGTTGGTTGAGAGGCATTGACTAAGCAGGTCACATGAGTGATACTCCTGAGTTGTTCCATTGGTCACTGAAATCTCCTCAGACGCTTCCAATTTTCTTTCTATCCCTGAAAGCTATAAATAGCATTTGCATTTCAGGGAGACCAGGAAGAAGGTTTTAGGATGTTAGAGAACAAGACAAACAGTAGGTGGGGGTGGACAGTGTGTGATCAAGGAGGGAGTAAAATGTTTCCTTTTAAAATGACCTGGGGGTCACTATATAAAGAAGCCACCAAATTTATTTTTCTTTCACTCATGTTAATGTCTCTTTCCCCCTCAACAGAGTCATAGATGAGTTTTAGAAAACTTGAAGTTCTCATTAATTCCTATGAGTTCAGAAAAATTCTCAATTTCAATGTTTAGTGTTGCATCCCCTAATTTATTTCTGAGAAAAAATATAATTTTTCTTTCTTTGACTGTCAGAGAATCTTAACAAAGAATGCTAAAATAATAGGACCCAGGCCACCCCTGTGAGGTAAAAAAAATCTCAACAGTCACCATTCTCAGAGGTGCCCTTCCCTGTTTGGACTTTACTTTTAAATCCCTTTGTTCCTAAATTGTTCCTGTTTTTCTCATGCTTTTGGAAAACAGTTAACACCATTTAAGGGGCTACTGGCAGAAGCAATGAGACTCTTTTATCCATTTTTCCAATGTCTCTCCTGAGGAAGCCTCACGTGAGGCAGTCACATACCTTGATTGTTGATAGTAATGATTTGGTGAATTCCACCAAAAAGGCCAATCTAGAATTAAAAAACATTTTTCGAAAGGTAAGTGAAATTTTAAAATGTATTTTTCTGGTATTTAATGGTAGTGTTACGTATTAGGTTCAAATTTGCAAAAATTAAAAAAAAATGTAGCAAACACTGCTTCATAGTTCTCTTCGACTCTAGCACTATTATGATGGTCCTGTTTTTATACTGCTGTGCTCAGCACCACAAATTGAGTCAGCAGCTTGTGTTAATTGTATTCTGCTAATGTGTGCATAGCTTGGCACCTGTTCACTTTCTAATAAGGGCACAATGAGAAGCTCAATTCCGCCCCTGTGCACCGTGTGCAGCATTCCCTTAACGGAGAGGGAGAGCTGGGGGCCACGTTTTCTTTACTCATCCACAACTGACCAAAGAAATCATATCCCTTTCCACTGTGGTCTTTCCACTTTTAGCTGTTTTTCAAAGCTAAAAGCTGAATGGACATCTGTTGAAGGAATTAACAAGATTTCTGATTTTATTTTTTAACAAAAATAGAGGTGTAAATGTTGGAAAGCGAAACACATACCTGGTTTGGGGTATCATCAGGATAGGCTTTTTGTCTTGTGCCCTTTCAACAGGTATCTATTACACGTCCAACCTTCTGATTGTGCACGTCTCTTCTGTAATTTTGAGTGTTCATTGCCTAGCCTCTGCTGGCCAAGGGTAACATGAAAGTAAAACAGAAAATTAATGAAAATAATAGATTTACTGTGCACTAGAAACATTTGGTATATCACAAGTACGACACAGTAAGTCCATGGTAAATATTAGAAACTACTTTGATTAGCTATGGACAGGATTAAGGAAGATTAGCAAGAATGAAATTGGAAAATCTTGACGTTGACCAGATGTCTGTGCCCCAGATGGAAGCCATGCTGCTTCTCTCCTCCCATTTCAGGTAGAGAGGTAAAAATGCCTGGAAGATGGGTAGCTGTCTCAAAGAGCCACGAGAATGCATGACTCATTGCTCTCAGCCTAAACATTCTTTGCTTCAACCTAAGCCTTATTAGCAGGGTAGCCAGATAATTCATTGTCAGAATATGAGTAAGAGTTTCCTTTTTAAGTCTGGGTTTCCTCCTCTGTGGAATGAACAAATCCTCCCAGTTGAGCTCAAATGCCGCTTCTAGTTCTAAAATTTGATTATTCCTTTTATTTAGTAATTTGTCCTCTAAAATAACTAATGAAATTATTTTAATATCCCATGAGAAATAAAGCCCAATTATTGTTAAACCTTCTTAAGGATGATTAAAGAAGGATGAACTAATATTCTACTTTACACATCTTATATAATAAAAGCCTAATATGCTAAGTGTCTGACCATTCGTTTGACAAGTTGCTATGATGCACACTGACCACCAGGGGGCAGATGCTTCAACCGGTAGGTTAACTTGCTGCTGGGGTCCTGGCCGATGGGGACTGGGTGAGACAGGCTGGACATGCCCTGGAGCCCTCCCGTGGTCCCTTCACGGCCTGATCGTGCACCAGTGGGGTCCCTCGGCCTGGCCTGCACCCTCACAATCTGGGATCCCTCGGGAGATGTCGGGGAGCTGGTTTTGGCCTGATCCCCGCAGGCCAGGCCGAGGGACCCCTAGTAATAACATAACATTAAGGAAATAACCAGGAATAGAATACAAATCCACAAATGACTTCAAGTCAGTTTAGAATCTGGTTTTAGCACAGTGCGTGGTATAAAGGGCAAGAATAGACATTGGAGTCAGGCAAACAGGAATCTAAATTCCAGTTCCATCTTCAAAGGCCCAACAATAGATGAGTGGATAAAAAAACTGTGGTACATTTACACAATGGAATACCATGCAGCTGTAAAAGAAAGAAGGATCTATTACCCTTTGAGACAGCACGGAGGGACCTGGAGGATATTATGCTAAGCTAAATAAGCTAGGCAGAGAAAGAAAAATATCACATGATCTCACTTATATGTGGAATCTAATGAACAAATAAACTGACAAACAAAATAGATCCAGAGTCATGGAAGCATGGAATAGACTGAGGAATCTCAGAGGGAAGAGGTGGGAAGAGATTAACCAAAGAACTTATATGCATATATGCATTGCCCATGGTTACAGCAATAGTGTGGTGAAGGCCTGGGGTGGGGAGGGAACCAGGTGAAGGGGGGGACAATGAGAGAGAAAAAAGGGGGAACTGTCATGTTCTCAACAATAAAGATATATTAAAAATAGACAGAAAAATTTGAATGCTAGAAAAAATATAAAATTTGCTTGACTGTACCACAAAGATGAAAGACTCGCACACTGAACACTATAAAACACTGCTGAAAGAAATTTCAAAAGACATAAATAAATGGAAAAGCACCCATATTCATAGGTTGAAAGACTTAATATTGTTAAAATGTCAATACTACTCAAAGTAATAAAAAAATTCAATGCAATTTCCATAAAAATTCCAAGGACTTTTCTTTGCAGAAATAGAAAATTTCATCCTAAAATTCAAATGAAATCTCGAGACCCTAAATTGCAAAGACTATCCTGAAAACACACAAAAGAAGTTGGAGGACTCACGCTTCCTGATTTCAAACTTTACTACAAAGATTTACTAATCAAAACATTGTGGTAATGGCATAAAAACAGACATATAGACCAGTGGATCATGATAGCATAAAAATTCGCTTAATGGTTCCAAGACTATTCAATAATGAAAGGACAATCTTTTGAACAAGTGGAGATAGGAAACTGGATATCTACATGCAAAAAAATGGTTAGACCCTTACCTTAAACCAGACCCAAAATAGGACAGAGCTAAAACTATAAAACTCTTAGAAGAATACCTAGGGGGGAAATTGCATGACATTGGATTTGACAATGATTTATTAGATATGACAACAAAAACACAGGCAATAAAAGAAAAAAATAAAGTGGACTTCATCAAAATTTTTAGAAGCCTTTTATGCATTAAAAAAACATAGTAAAAAGGCAACCAATAGAAGGAACTAATATCCAGAATATATAAAGAATTCTTAAAACTCAATAACAAAAAGACAAACAACCCAATCTAAAAAAGGCAAAGAACTTGAGTGGACATTTCTCCAAAGAAGACACACAAATGGCCAATAAGCACATGAAAAGGTATACAAAATCACTAATCATTAGAGAAGAACAAATGAAAACCACAATGAGATACCATGTCACATCCATTAGATTGACCATTATTTAAAAGCAAAAACAAAACAAAAAAAGAAAACAAGTGTTGGGAGGATGTATAGAAATTGGAACTCTTGTGCATCATTGGTGGGAATGTAAAATGGTACAGTTGCTGTGCAACACGATACGGAGGTTCTTAAAAAATTAACATAAAACTACTATATGATCCACCAGTTTTACTTCTGGTAATACACTGAAAAGGACAGAGCAGGGTCTTAAAGAGAGATTTACAGACTTGTGTTCATAACAGCATTATTCATAATGGCCAAAAAGTTGAAGTAACCCAAATGTCCACTGATGGATGAATGGATAAGCAAAATGGGTATATACATACAATGGAATATTTTTGGCTTTAAAAAGGAATGAAATTCTGATACATGCTACAACATAAACATTGAAGACATTATGATAAGTGAAGTAAGTCAGGCACAAAACGACAAATATTGTATGATTCCACTTATATATGGTACCAAAGATAGTAACATTCATAGAAATAGAAAGAGTGGTGGTTACCAGAGAATAGAGGGAAAGGGCAATGGGAACTTATGAATGGACACGGAGTTTCAGTTTGGGATGATGAAAAGGTTCTGGAAATGGACAGTGGTGATGGTTGTACAACAATGTGAGTGCACTGTTACTGAACTAATTGTACACTTAAAAATGGTTAAAATAGTAAATTGTATGTTGTGTACATTTTACCATGATAAAAATAAATCTGCTTGAAGTTGTAAACCCTGAGGACTAAGAAGGGCTCCTGATTGTTACCTGGGCTAAAAAAAAAAAAAAAAAAAAAAAAAAAAAAAAAAAAAAAAAAGTAGAACCTAGCAACTATTTCTGCACAAGGAACTTTCACACAAACTGCACTTCACTGAAACGCCTTGCACTAAATTGCCTGCCTCTGCACAGCTAGACTGCCTGCCTGCCCTGTGTAACTGCCTTCTGAGCTAGTCCTCATAAAGAAGTTCCTGGAACCCTCGTGCACTGTTGGGAATGCAGATTGGTGCAGCCACTGTGGAAAGCAGTATAGAGTTACCTCAAAAGATTAAAAATGGAACTGCCTTTGACCCAGCAATTCTACTCTGGGAATTTAACTGAAGAAACCTGAAACACGAATTTGAAAGAAATATGTGAACTTATGTTCCTTACAGCATTATTTACAATAGCCAAGATTTAGAAGCAGCCCAAGCATCCATCAGTAGACAAGTGGATAAAAAAGCTGTGGTACATTTGCACAATGGACTACGACTTGTCTGTAAAAAGGAAGAAAATTTCACCCTTTGTGACAGCATGGATGGACCTGGAAAACATTATGCTAAGTGAAATAAGCCAGCCAGAGAAAGGCAAGTATCATATGATTTCATTGATATGTAGAATTTAATGAACAAACTGGACTACCAATCAAAACAGAGACAGACTCATAGATAGAGAGCATACAGACAGCTTTAGGGGGTGGGGGTGGGGTGGAAGAGGGTATAGAGGGGGAAAAATTAATTTAAATTTAAAAAAAAAAAAAATAAATAAAACAAATAAAACAAAAGAAGTTCCTGGAGTCCTACAACCTTAGGATTTCCCCAATCAGAGCTGTGCAGCTCTGATCTATTCTGACCAATCAGGGACCATGGGTGGGAACTTCTGTCTATATAGGCCAGCTTCCCTCTGACTGCAGAGTGCACTTTCCATGAAAGACTGAATTTCCAGTTTCTGGGGCAAAACTGAAAGGTCTCCCCAGAGCAGAACTGAACAGCCTCACAACCTTGCTGTTTTCACAGCAGCTGTACTGTAGCACTATCAAGATACTGTTCCACAGCAGTGCTGTTTTCACAGCCATGCTGTATTACCGTCTAGTTGTTTGCACTAAAGAAAGTTTCCTTGCCCAGCTGGTGTGGCTCAGTGGTTGAGCATCGACCTATGAACCAGGAGGCCATGGTTGGATTCCCAGTCAGGGCACATGCCCAGGTTGTGGGCTCAGTCCCCAGAAAGGTGCGTGCAGGAGGCAGTCAATCAACGATTCTCTTATCATTGATGTTTCTCTCTCTCTCTCTCTCTCTCTCTCTCTCTCTCTCTCTCTCTCTCTCTCTCTTCCTTCTTCTCTGAAATCAATAAAAATATTTTCTTTTTTAAAAGAAAGCTTCCTTCTTCACCGCACCCCAAATGGGGGATTCCTTTTGGCATTTGAATTGACACCAACAATCAGCAGTTGACAAAGTTATTACAGACCTGACAAAAATGTAAAGATTGCTAAGTCAAGTCTAAAAGACAGCAACAAAAATTAAAACCAAAGCAAAACAAAGAAAAATCTAAAACCAAAAAACAGAAAGGTAAGCTTATCATTGGGGATGTCTTTTTGCCCAGGGACAATTGCCATTGCCAATCCAAATCAATATTTCCACAGCCTCATGGAGTTTCAGAGAAAAAAGTAAGACTTTAAGACCACTAAAAGTGAGATTCCCTCATAAACT